TAGTTATAGCGCTTACAGGATTTCACTGAGCTTCGCTACATGTCATAATCAGCTCATTGCTGTCTACTTCAGTATCAGTTTGTGATACAGATGATAGATAGATAGATAGATAGATAGATAGATAGATAGATAGATAGATAGATGGTGTGAGTGAGTGAGTTTGCTTTTGCTTTTCAAGACAAGGTTTCTCTGTGTAGCCCTGACTGTCCTGGAACTCACTCTGTAGACCAGGCTGGAACTAACCGTCACATGTGAGGGCCTGAGTTTGTATCCACGACTCTCGCATTAAACAGTTACATATGGGGTCAGGCGGTGGTGGCGCACGCCTTTAATCCCAGCACTCGGGAGGCAGTGGCAGGCGGATCTCTGTGAGTTGAGGCCAGCCTGGTCTACAAGAGCTAGTTCCAGAACAGAAACCAAAAACTACGGAGAAACCCTGTCTCGAAAATCAAAAAAAAAAGAAAAAAAAGAAAAAAGAAAGAAAAGAAAAAGAAAAATTCTCCTAAGGAAGAGGGGCAGAGGGAAGAAGACAGAAAGCAGATGGACAGACACACAGTATCTAATATCACAGTCTTGAGACAAACTGCAGGGCTGGTCTAGAGTTCTCAGAAGCGTCATAGAGGAAGACGAAGTCCTGCCTTTCCCGGATGACTAAGGGCCACAGGAAGCTGGCAGTTTCTCTAGAAGCCTCCCTGTTCCACTACATTCACCCTCCACATGGGTCACTCATGCATCCGTTACTGAAGAGCTACCAGGAAATGTCACTCATCTCTCAACTTCAGACAGTAGGACAAGACAGACATATATGATGGTAGCTCTTGTTTTGAGGGATGGTTGCTCATGTTGTAGCTGCTGTTTAGAGACAGGGCCTCATGTATAGCCCAGGCTGGCCTGGATCCAGAGATTCTTGTTCCTTACAATCCTGGGACTGCAGGCATGCACCACCATGCCCAGCTTGAGACACAACAAAACTGAAACCACCTTGTGGGTCTATTTGGAAATTAGATTTTGCTCTGAATTTATGACTCTTTTTAAAAGCTTTGGCACTCTCATTTCCATTGCTCTGTTGTTTCATTATAAAGAAACTACATTGAAGTCTAAACTATCACCATAACAGTTTTGTTACTATAGTAACTAGACTCCGAACTGACTAATGCACTGTATTACAAATAGTATGCCTCCATTTGGGGTAGGAAATCACTATGACAGGGCAAGTAAGATGGGTTTCCGTGTTTAACAGAGAATAGAACTGTACATTTCCCAGGGTTTTAAAAAGTAACCTCTATTTTCTATAATTTCTACATGTAAATAACTGATTCACTGGTATTATGGCAGACATGACTGCTTTTCATGATAAAAAGTTAATGTTAGGGCTGGGGAGATGGATCAGTATAAAAAGTGGTTGCTGGACAAGTATGAGGACCAAAGTTCAGATTCCCAGGACTCTTGTAAAACCCTGGTGTGGCCACCATATGTGCCTGTAACTTGGAGAGACAGGCAGATCTCAAGAGCCAGCCTGGCCAAAATGGTGAGACCCTGTTCTCAGAGATGGAACAATGGCCCAGAGGGTAAGGAACCAGCTGCCCTTCTAAGAACCCATAAAGTAGGCCACAAACTATCCGTAACTCTAGATCTACGCTATCCCATGCCCTCTTCTGGCCTCTGTGGGCACGTTGTGCACAGACATATATGCAGGCAAATACCCATGCACATAAGATGAAGGAGAGCCTGTTCTCAAGGGATTATGATGGAGAGCCACAGAGAAGGACACTCAATATTCCCTTCTGGCAGCATACACAAGCAGTCAGGCAGACAGAAAGAGTAAACGTCTTAAAGTTACAATTTCTACACAGGTCCCCAAAGCAGAGGTCATCAGCTGTACAGAGAGAGGCAGCTGACTTAGTGTGTGTCCCGACTGTCTCTCTTCAGATCACTAATTTTATATACTTTGTTTTGTTTTTGTGTTTTGAGACACCATCTCTAACTACCTGGTTAGCCTGGAACTCATCAGAAGGATGAGATCCATCCTTCTGCCTCTGCCTCCCAAGCTCTGAGATCACAAGCGAACCTTCACCTTCTTACACCTCCGGCTTTCTCCTCTTCTCTCACCTTCAAAGCTGAGCTATAGGACTGGAAGGTTTGACTCCGACGGAACTAACAGCAGTGGAGGTACTGGTCTCTGGCTTAGGAACTCTGGGCAGAATGAGGGTAGTACAAGTCTCCAAATTTATTAAGACTCTGGTTACCCTGGTTACTGCCATGAGCCTGTCAGTCAACAAAAGCCCTGTAAGCCAATAAACTCTAATCGTTAAGAGGTCAAAACCAGCTGGGCGGTGGTGGTGCGCGCCTTTATTTCCAGTACTCAGGAGGCAGACGCAGGCGGATGTCTGAGACAGAGAGCCTGGTCTACAGAGGAGTTCCAGGGCAGTGAAAGCTAAACGAAGAGAAACCCTATCTTGAAACTACCGACCAAAAAAGATTAAAAAAAAAAAAATCTTAAAATAGTCAAAAGTACCCTAAACAATGCCCACCACACAGCTGAGACTGAAGGTTAGCCTTCCCTTTGACCTAACTTGAAAGAGCAACTGACCTCCAGAGGGTGAGGCTTCTTGCCCTCAGACTCAGGCTTACTTCTGGCGGGGCTCTCGGTGCACAGCCAGGCCCTACTCCTTTCTCCCAAGCTACCCTTTTATCCTCACATGATGACATGTGTCTGCTGCTGGACTCCCAGATCTAAAACATGTTTATCTGCAGCTTTTGTTCAAATAGCAATGGCTGAGATAGAGATTCTTTCTGTGGCCTGGATGCCATTTTATCTAAAATGCCTTTAATACAACTTCACCATGAACAGAGAAGCAGACTTGGAAATAACTCCCACTGGAGCATTAAGGCTGCATTGGAGGCAGGCACTGGCAGGGCTGGAAGGCTCACAGAAGGCACGCATACGCCAGCACAGTCATTAACACCGACTGAGACTTAGAAGACACGCTGTGCCAGAGCCAGACCTCGCCTGTTCTTACGGGGGAAAGCTAACAATCACTGCTTCAGGGTACAGAGTGGGCTTCTCAGTAGCTCTCGGGGGCCGTCACTCCGAGCTGGCATGCTCTGGGATCAGTACTTTCGGTGCAGAAGTAGGCAATTTCCAAGATATTCAAGAAAATAAGCTCAGTGGGTATTTTCTCCCCCACAGACTTTAAAACTAAACGTACGTTATGGAAGGTTCTTCACACCGTGGGGCACGTCACTCTGGTGACAACTTTATTATCTGTTGTTTCTGAGCCAGGGTTCATTCTCTTGGGTCACTCGCTTTTAAAAATATTCAAAACTCTGTAAGCCCATGGGACAGGTCTGCACAGATAAACATCACAGACCATGCCTAAAAGCTGGGGTCTCCAGGAAAGGACACTGATGACCTGGCTGGAGGGGGAGGAGTCATCATGTGAACCTTCATTTTATCCTCCTGAAGGTTAATGGAGTATGGGATCAAACACCCAGAACACCTGCACTTGGGAATGGACGGGCAGGGATAGGGGAACTGCAAACCTTGTGTCTAGGAGAGGAAAGTATCTTGTTTGTACTACAGACCCAAGATTTCTAGAGAAAACCAAAACCCCAGACCCTATCTTTAGCTGTTCTCTTCTATTGATCTGATACGTAACCCTAGAAAATGCACATCCTTGGTAGGTTCTGGCTCTGAGACCCCAAATACCTATGTCCTATGTATCAGTTTTTGTATATGGAGTACAATACTTTCAGGTACACCAGCCCTCAAGCACCAATCAGCTTGCAGCAGTAACGCCTCCCAGAGTCTGTAAAGGAGAAGAAGGCTCCGATGCACTTATTCTCCACCATATTCGGCATTCTGGACAATCAGGCACTGTGCTCAACTACTCAAAGAAGTCTTTTCAAAGCATGGCAGCCAGCTCATTTGTTCCGAGCTAAAACTGGAATAGGAGAACACCACGTAGCTTAGGACATGGTAAGAGTGTGTGTCTGGGGTATGGTCTATTTTTAGGAGTTAGACTGAGAAGCTTCCTTTTTGAATATATGTAGAAAAATAAAAAGTAATAGCAGGGTCACTGTGTGACTTATTCCACTCTTAAAACAGCTCTGTCCAGCAGGAACAGACCAGGGTCTTCTCAGGAGCCTGCAGTCATTCCAACGCTTATACCAAAGGCTTATTTCCTACATTCACAAACTATCTCCAAAGGGGTTCCTCAAAGACTGGTTATTTTCAACAAATACACTTTTTTTCCCTTTTTGAAATAGAGTCTCTCTCACTCTATAGCTCAGGCCAGCCTTGAATGAACAATCCTCCTGCTTCTGCCTCCCAAAGAAGAGTCACCCACCCAATTAAACAAATATGTTTTTAAATCTTCAGTATTTCAAAAACTGTTCCAAGGTCGAGCGTGGTAGTGCGAGCCTTTAATCCCAGCACTCAGAGGCAGGCCGACCTCAGTGAATTCGAGGCCAGCCTCGTCTACAAAGTTAAGTTCCAGGATAGCTAGAGCTGCTACACCGAGAAACCCTGTCTTGAAAAGCCTAAAACAAGAAAGAAAAAAAAAAAACTGTTCCAAAGAAGTAAAAAATAAATAAGGCACAGGCAAAGACACCGTGGGATGCTAACCTAACTGGGAACCGCTCTATGACAACTCTCAGGATTAAAAAACTGTCTGCCGTCACACAGCAGTCTGACAAGTTTCCCCTAGACACTGTTAACAACTTGAAATGCTTAGAAAGTAATTAGTAAACAAGGCTGAGGCATTTATCTATGTCAAGGGCACTATGTGGAGCTACGGGGATGGCTCAGTGTTAATCAAACACACACACCACCCCTTGACTCTAATGTTTGTACAAGTTAAATCTAGCCTTAAACAGAAAACTTGAATACTGTGTGCTTCCTTCACGGGCGATCAAAGCAAGGGCAGGAAGGGGATCCAAGCTAGGGATAAACTACACGCTTGCAAGGCAGTTAGTTCCACACCACAGCCGCGTCTTACCTTTTCAGGTCGACGGTTGTGACGCTAAACACAACTCCTTTGAGCCAAAGGATCATGAAGAGCCTCTGTGAGAAGGGGCAGTTGCCGATGCTCTCGCCATCACTGCCAGCCTGCAAACAGAATGAGACATTTAAAACCAAGGTCAAAAATGGGGGCACTCAAGCAGCAGAACTCTCACGAATTCCGATCTGAAATATTAGGAGTGGCAAGGAGGGTGGAAATGCAGGTCTTAATTGCTTTGGTCTTTCATTTGCCTCAGTTTCTTCTTAGTAATGACTAGTCCAGCAGAGCACTGTTCCAGACGCCTTTGTATTGTAAAGGAGACTTTGTCACCACTTTTCAACATGGCGGCCAGCAGCAACATCTGGCCAACGACTACTTAAAATAAGGATAGTGCCAATCTAATGAAGACATCATTTTACTTATCTTTTTATCTTTTCTTTCTTTCTCTCCCCCCCCCCTTTTTTTTGGTGTTTTGTTTGTTTGTTTGTTTTTTGAGACAGGGTTTCTCTGTAAAATAAATAGTCTTGGTTGTCCTGGAACTCACTTCGTAGACCAGGCTGGCCTTGAACTCACAAAGATCCACCTGCCTCTGCCTCCCAAGTCCTAGTATTAAAGGTGTGCGCCACCTCATTTTACTTATCTTAAAAAAAAAGTCACATTTGTTCTGATTTTGCAGCAAGCCTGGTCTACAGAATGAGTTTCAGGACAGCCAGGACTGTTACACAGAGAAACCCTGCCTTGATAAACCAAAAAAAGTCACATTTGGCTAATAGCTGTGTGATGATTTGACTGAGGCGCTCCCCATATGTTTTGGTATTTGAATACTTGATCTCCAGTTTGTGGCACTGTTTGAGTATGGTTAGGAGGTGTGGCTTTGGTGGAAGAAGTATGTCACTGGGTGTGGGCTTTGAGGTTTCAAAAGCCATATGCCATTCCCAGTTTGTTGTTTCCTATTTGTGGTTTGAGGTATGAGCTCTCAGCTGCTGCTCCAGCAGCCAAGCCTGGTGCCTGCTGCCATGCTCCCCACTGTGATGGTGATTGACTCGCTTTTATTCCTCTAGACCCTGAAGTCCAAAACAAACCCTTCCTTCTCCAAGTTGCCTTGGTCTTGGTGTTTATCACAGTAACAGAAAGTAATTAACAAAGGCTGCTATGCTGAAGAGTGCACCATACCCAGGACACATATATCCCTAACGCAGGCAAAAGGCAAAGTCTGCCATGGCTCTGAGAGTATTCTTTCTTTGGCGGGGGTGGGATGGGGGGGTGGAGGGGGGAGGTCGGCAGAGTTTCTCAGTGAAGCCCTGACTGTCCTAGAACTCACTTCAAAGACCAGACTGGCCTCAAACTCACAGGGATTTACCTGATTCAGTGTCCCGAGTGCTGGGATTAAAGGGTGCGCCACCACAATCAGCAACAGTATACTGTACATGGCAACATAAAACCAGGAAATGTATAGATGTCTGTCTCCAAAGAGTCACCAAACATCTCCCATCAAAGAAGGATCTATTGTTGGGCAGCGGTGGCGCACGCCTTTAATCCCAGCATTTGGGAGGCAGAGGCAGGTGGATCTCTGTGAGTACAAGGCCAGCCTGGTCTACAAAGGGAATTTCAAGATAGCCAGAGCTAAACAGTGAAAAACCAAAAAGAATCCATTATAAATATCCTCCACCCTTGTTATCCATGGAGCAAGGAAACCTGACACTTTTACAAAGCTTTTCCTAATCTACCTCATGAATGAACAGTTAACTTCCCAGAGTGCAGCAATGAACATGGCAGAATTTTCCCAAGTCCAAGCCAAACAACTCTTTAATTTTTATAAGGCATGCGCCAAGATTAAAAGGGAGATGGATGAGGAGTGAACTTATAGCACATACTTATAAGGCAGAGGCAGAACAATCAGGAGTTCAGAGTTATCCTGTACTACATCGCAAGTTGGAGGCCAACCTGAGCTACACCTCACGACAGAAACACCCTGATTACTCCTGCTGGTCCTGCACAACATGGCCAACAATACTATTTTTTCATCTCAGTTTATCTGAATCCTTCTGGGACTTGGACTCACCAAAGCAAAACAGGGCACAGGAATATGGAAGTCCATCTGCATGTTTGCAGACACAAGGAATATGGAAGTCCATCTGCATGTTTGCAGACACAAGGAATATGGAAGTCCAGCTGCATGTTTGCAGACACAAGGAATATGGAAGTCCATCTGCATGTTTGCAGACACAAGGAATATGGAAGTCCATCTGCATGTTTGCAGACACAAGGAATATGGAAGTCCAGCTGCATGTTTGCACACACAGCAGACACAACCATGTGAGCGAGCGCCCATGAGCAGAAGGCAATTGGCATTACCACTCGCTGTGCAACGTACCAGAATTCTTGAGTTTCCTTTGGGGTAAAAAACCATTTGAGGCTGGTGGTAGTACACACCTTTAATTCCAGCACTCAGGAGGCAGACAGTGTGAGGCTGGCCTGGTCTACATACAGGGCTACACAGAGAAATACTATCTTGGGAGGGAGAAAAAAGGCATTTGAACTCAAGGGGCTTTTTTTGTTTTTTGATTTTTGTCTTTTGACAAACACTCATACACCTAGAATAAAAACATACAATGTTTTTAAAGAAACAAAGGAATGAACTGGAGAGATGGCTCAACAGGTAAAGAGCTTGTCGCACCGGCTGATGACCTAAGTTTGATCCCCAAAAACCACATAATGGTGGAAGAGAACCTACTCCACAAACCTGCCCACAGGCCCACCTCCACCTGTGGGCTGTGACGAGTGTACACACACAGAATAATAATAATAAAATAATAAAACCCAAGGAGAACATTCAAAAACAGACTCTGGCTTCACATTGCAAGACTGCAATTTCATGCTAAATTGGGAGTAATTAAAGACATTTTGTGAGCATCTCTAAAAAAAAAAAAAAAAAAAAGACTGCAATTTCAGAGAATCCAGGGGTGGGGCAGGACCCTCACTTCACTATTGGCGTCCACAGAGATGCAAAGGGAAAGGAGAGTGTGCAGGTCATCCTGGTAAGCCAGGTAGGAAGGTCGAGAAGGCTCTTGCTTCTCTGTCAGTTCCCAGGTCTAAGCTCTGCACTGTGGTTGTTCCCAGAGACCTAGTGGGGCACCTAGACACCCACCTTCCTGGGCCTGCAGTGCTGCAACCGCTCTCTGTCCCTGCTCTCGCCTCCTCTCACTGCGCTGTCTGTCAGGACTGAACAGAAGAGTCAATGAAATGCCCAGGGTTCCACTGAGAAATTCCATGCAATACCAAGAACTCAACCCTGAATTTTTAAAACTCAACCAGCAGATGCCAAGAGCAAGATGACCGAGATAGAAAATTACCTGACAAAATATCTAGGAACTGTGATAAAAGCGCTTCAACAATCAAGTATCAGTACCTTGAGACAAGTGAAAAACTAGCAAGCCTCAGCAAAATAGTCTAAACAGGAAACTCAAAAAACCACTTAGAACTAAAGTTATAGTTACTGTTTGCTTGGAAGTGTCACCCCAGCCCCCTGGCATTCATTTTGGAATGTTTGAGTGGAAAGTCCCAATTCAAGCCCCGTCCCCTGGGAGTTGCCACAGTCCAGACTCCATCTCCGAGAAAGCCCGCCAAATGGTGACCCTTCCCCAGAGAGGGTCAAGACCACGCCCACAGGCTATTTAAACTGCCCCACAGAACAAACAAGTGGTCTTCCCAGCTTTCCCTCCCCTCCCCTCCCCTCCCCTCCCCTCCCCTCCCCTCCCTTCACCTCCCCTCCCTTCACCTCCCCTCCCTTCACCTCTCCTCCCATGTTGTCCCAGAGGGCCACCCGGGTGCGCTGGCAACCATTAAACTGGGCCTTTCTCTAATTTGGTTTGATTTGGTCTGATTTGGATTATTGTGACAGCGGAGAGGCTTATCGGGCTGGGAAAACTTTACAGTAGCCAAAATAAGAGGCTCAGAAGATAGACTCCGCTGTGATTGTCAGTAGTGTCTCCCAAAGGCCCGCCTGGTAAAGCCTTGGCCCCATGGCCTACATGGAAGGCACTATGGATGGCCTAGTAGGAGCTTTATGTCACTGTGGGCATACCACTGGCAAGATTATGGAAACTCAGTGGGCGGTGGTGGCACATGACTTTAATCCTAGTACTCTGGAGGCAGAGGCAGGAGGATCTCTGAGTTCAACACCAGCATGGTCTACATAGCTAGTTCCAGGATGGTCAAGGGATATGCAGATAAACTTTGTCCAGATAAAAAGAAAAAAAGAAAAAAAATGAGACCTCAATATCTTCCTCTTCTCTTTTGCTTCTTGGCCAAAATAAGCAATTTGTTCTGCCATACACTATCAGCCACTGCCATCCACTGCCACATGAGAGACCCAAAGCTGTAAACATCAACACCATAAACCAAAACAAGACTTTTCTCTTCAGAAGTTAGATATCTTGGGTATTTTATTACAGTAAAGAGCTAACTAATACTGACTAAAAGTCAAAGAGATGACATGCAGGAAAAAAATTAAAAGAATAAAAGTCATGCAATCTGAACAAAGGAGAAAAGGTAGGCTTAAACTGAATATATAAAGACAGACATGTGGCGCACGCCTTTAATCCCAGCACTTGGGAGGCAGAGGCTGGCAGATCTTTGTGAGTTCAAGAACAGCTTGGTCTACCTAGTAAGTTCCAGGACAACCAGAGCTACATATAGTAAGATCCTGTCTCAAAACAGCAACAACAAAAGGACTATTGGCCACTTTTGATGTAGGACCCAGCCGTGACCAGCTCAATAGAGGCCTGAGTCTCAGTAGTTTACCCAGGTTCCAAGAAAGACCACAAACTGAGACTACCCAGGCACCACCTAGGAACAGACCATCCAAAGGAAATTCCTAACTTCACCTGCCAGAGCACACCCATCGCTCTTCACCAGGACACCCCTAGGGTCCTGAGCCTTAGAAATCCCTCACCCCCACCTTTACTACTAGAAAAACCAGACCCCAACGGAGCTCGGGGCTCTCCAACCACTCCAATACAATGGACCCACGGAGAGTCCGAGTTTGCAAACTTGTAAAGAAATAAAGGCCCTTTGCTTTTACATACAGGACTTGGTCTCCTAGTTA